AGGACCCCTTTCCCCTGGGGCCTCTCATGGAGGAGCAACCACAGAAAGACCAGCCTGCAGTCTGCCTGGAGGAGGTGATCGCTCACTAGGAAACGGACTGAAAGGAAACCCATGGCCACGGGAGCCCCCTCCTGAGGCCTGTCCTGTCCGGGGATCCGGCCTCCAGTCGTCACTGTCGCCCCCTCACACCCCAGTGAAGGCAGCCTGACCCAACGTAGCCAAAAATGACTTCCCTTGACATTGCTTTACAAAAGCAAAAAAAAAACAGGGGGGAAACCCCCCGATTCAGTAGCCCCCTAAGAATGGACGCTGGTGGCTTCTCACCCAGGTGCCTGCCCATGGCCATCCGAGCACCAGTCCCTGCCACCGCCCCACTGCTCCAGGCCCCGGACAGGGAGAGACCCAGGCGGCCCCAGGCTGACGGCGGTCCGGCCCCACTGACCTGATCTGAACGTCTAGCTCTGCTGGGGGAGGGGACACACCTTCCCACAAACACGTTCCAACCTGACACGTCCCTTTCCTGGAACGGCTTCACCTCTGGGGTTTCCCTCCTTTGCCCAATTGAATCTCAGTGCCAAGGGTCGCAATGTCAGACGGAGAGTTCACACGCAACCCTGTTCTTTCTGTTGAGTCCTGAGCCGACGTTACCCAGGATAAGCCTTCTTACAACAAATACCACCTTTTATAGGCTGTCTCCCTTCCTGCTACGGGACCCGCTCCCGGGTGAGATGGAGGCGCAGGGCAGCCCTGGGGCCATGCTCTCAATGGAGCCATCAACCCTGTGTGCAGTGTGACTACACTGCTGTGCACACGCTGGCCCCTGCAGGACGGCAGGCTCGGACCCCACGGAGCAGGATGGGCACTCTCAGGCCCACCCCCCACCGTTCTCACCACGACCGGGGATTCTCACCGCAACTGGGCCATCCCACCCGCCTCCAGCCACCACCCACCACTCAGAGCTATTGGCTCCACTCTAAACTCACACTGTACCCTGGTCACACTTCCCAGGACTGAACGCCCCGACCGGAAGGTTCCGTTTGGGGACACCACTCCCCCACGCTACAGCCACCTGCCCTTCCACAGACTGAGATTCTACAGGGTCACCATCCACACTGCAGGTGTCGATGGAGACTGGAGTTCCCAGGTCAGTGGGACTTACGGCGGAGACGGGGTCCGAGTGCGCAGGCAGGGTCTTGAGGCATTTCCCCGTCTTCACATCCCATATCCTCACGCTCTCATCAAACTGCAGAGAAAGGAGAGATCCAGGCCACTCCACAGGGAGGACAGGAGCTGACAGACCTTCGGAACCCAAAACTGCCCCCAGTCCCCCAGCAGGTCACCTCTGTGCCCACCCCCACCCGGAAGAGGCCAGCACACTTACGGAGCCTGAGACAATGAGGTTGGACTGCGGGTTGAAGTTACAGCAAAAGACATAATTACTGTGTCCCTTCAGGGTTTTCAGACACTTTCCCTACAATGAAATATTGATAGCCTATCATTCCAGCGACTGACGGCGGGGCCAGGCTGACCGATGCACACCTGGGAAGCACCGCTGTGAGGCACGCCTGGGAGAGCCAGGCCGCCAGGCCCCGGCTGCCCCCCACCCCCCACTCACACGCTCCCCCAGGAGGGACCCGAGTCCGGCTTACCGAGCTCACATCCCATATCTTTAGGGTTTTGTCATCTGAGGCAGAAACAAGGAGGTTAGAATCTGAGGACCAGGCCACATCGGATATTCCCTGGGGAGAAAAAACAGAGGGTCACCCCCTTGAGGGACAAAACACAATGAACCTGCAGAAGCCAAATCCCCCTCCCATCCGACTGGACACACAGCCCTCGTCCCACCCTCCCAGTCCACAGCCAGCGCTGAGCACAGGGGGCCCCGCCCGGCCGAGGACCAGCCCGCTCTCGGCGGCTCTGCAGGCCTCACCGTGGACAGAAACTCGTCCGGGACTCAGGAGTATTTGCTTAAAAAAACAAGCGGTGGCAGCTCTGGCCCGTGGCTCAGTGGTTAGTGTCAGCTCGCACACCAAAGGGTTGCGGGTTCAATTCCCGGTCGAGGGCAGGCACCTGGGTTGTGGGATGTCTTTCTCTCTCCTAAGCCCCATGGGCCCTTCTTCTGCCTCTGTAACTTGTTCCCTGAGCCCGTGTGGGCTCACTCTTTCTACCTTGGTGACTTTTCTAAATAAACTGCCACTTGTATTTGAAAAAACGAGCAGATGCAAATAACTACCAGAAAGAACCTGGAGGCCCCGCCAATGCGGCTCAGGGGTGAGCGTTGATGCATGAACCAAGTGACTCCCGGTCAGGACACACCCGGGTTCCAGCTCCATCCCCAAGCGGGGTGTGCAGGAGGCAGCCGATCTTTCTCTCTCTATCTCTCTCCCTTCCCCTCTCCCCAAAATCAATAAAAAACATATTTAAAAAATAAAAAGAATTCGGGGGGAAACTCAACATAACTCCACAGGCCTGAGAGAGGGGCCCCACCCACGTGATGGCTGGAGCTACGCTGTCCAGCAGCCACCGCAGTGTGCAGGGCCGATACCTACCAGCTTGTGACCAGATATGGTTTTCTCGAATTTCCCATCATAGGCGCCCCAAATTTTAATGAGCTTGTCTGCAGCTGAGAGAAAGGAGTAACAAAGAGCCAGTCATCCACAGTCCAGAATCTGGGTTTTCCCACCGGAGCCCCGGGAACAGTGTGAGGGACCCTGAGGAGGGCCACCCACACGAACAGGCAACACTCTCCACCGCCCGGCCCCTGCCATGCAGAGTGGCAGTGGCACAATTTCAACGGGGAATGGATTCTTCCAGTTAAACGCGGAAGCTAACAGGCACACCCACGCTGCACCGACGCAGAGGGGTGTCGGAAAGCAAGCCCCCCCTCCCCCACACACACACCGGTTTCTCCCAGCCACCAAGGCCCCGCTGATACCTACACGAACTCGCCAGCCACTCCCCGTTCGGGCTGAATTTCACGGAGGACACGGCTTTCGTGTGGCCGGCCAGGGTGAACTTCAGAGCATAGTTTGGTTTCACAGGTGTAGGCTGGTGAAGAAAGAGTACTCATCAGCCACAAGTACCCACCACCATCAAGTCAACCGTCAGTCTGGATTCGATTCCCAAAACTGAACGTCAAGCTCAGACCTCCGGCTTGAGCTCCATACCACGTGGCTACCAGAGCTGTCTGCTTGTCACCTCAACCTGAACAAGCAGCCTGAGCCCTTACTTCTGCAGCCCTCACCTCAGTGCCTCGGCTCCAGCACCCTAATCCCACCCACCCAGACCACCAGCACCCACCTGTGCCAACCGGGTGGGCACCCGCCCGCCTGCCCGCATACAGCCCCAAGCAAACCGGAAGGCTGCTCCCGGGGAAAGGTCTGCAGAGGTCTGCACCTGCCCAGGCATCAGAACTGCGGCCGGGGGTGGGGGTGGGGGGCTGCAGAACAGCGCTGCCTGGGCCCTAGACTCTCACAGGAGGACTGAGGAGCTGTGTTGTTGCTAAGGCCCCGCCCCAGGGGACAGGTCCGGAAACCGCCAGTCACAGAACACAATCAGCAGCAGCTCTCTGCCTGGAGAACACCCTGATGGACCTGCAATGCCATCCCCAAGCATCTTGCAGCCCGTGCCCCTGCAGTTCCCCAGGAGCCGCAGGGACTTGCCTTGCTCTGCGTGGCCGACGACGAGGGGGTGGGCTGCGCTCGGGCAGCCTCTGCCTCCGGCTTCTTCTCCTCCGTTGCCATGGCTCCGAGGCCCACCGGGCAGCAGGGAGATGCAGGCGGATGGGTTCACAGCTCCACAGAACACTCAGAGCAGGAAGAACTCTGGGCTACCGCAGCCTACAGTGGGGGACCTAGGCCAACAAGCAAACCATAGTTTAAAAGGCAATTTCCAGGAAAAAGGATAAAAACCATTGGACCACCTTACAGAGCCTGGATCTGCTGCTCCAAATGGAGGTGCCTGTTATCCTAACTACCTAAGGCTTTCAGAGGCTGCCAGGCCAAGCCCCCTCAGGCTCCTGCAGTAGCTGTGATCAAAGGCCCCTCCTTCAAGGCTGCTCCGTATTGTTACCTGGGGGCCTGCAGGAATTCGGGAATGCAGCCCCGCCCACCCAGTAAACACAACCTCTTCTTCAAAGGGCCCTGCACGTTATAAACCACTGAAGGCCACTTGTCAGGGAACCAGCCGGGTTACAGGAGGCTGCCCTTGGGGTGCACAGGTGTGGGGACTTATCCAAGGCCTCACGTGCACCCGGGGATGCAATAGCTGAGAGCCATGTCTGCAAACCTAAGGGCTCCCCCGGCCCTGCCTGCTGGCGCAGCCGGAGCATGTGCCACGGCGCCACGGTCTGCACGAGGCTGGCGCTGCGGGAGGGAAAGCCTCGGCTCCATTAGGTCTCACCGCGGCCATGGGAACTGCCCTCCCAGAAGCACACCCACAGGGGGCTCGGAGGGGAGCCACCAGGGTGTTCTTGTAAGTATCATGGCCATCCAACTCCCGGAAGCCGGAATCACCATCAGGAGTTTGCACTGTGAGTTCTTGCTTGGAGCTTAAAACTGAAGTGTGCAGTGAAGTGAAATGGAAGCCATCAGAAAAAGACCAAGTCTCAGTCTTCATCCACGAAGGGTTAGGAATTACCAGTGAAGTGAAATGGAAGCCATCAGAAAAAGAGCAAGTCTCAGTCTTCATCCACGAAGGGTTAGGAATTACAACGCAGCACAGCAGAGCAGAGCACGACGCGGCCACGGCTGGCCACCTGCAGCGAGACGGAGCCCACTGCACCGCGTGGGGGAGGGGAGAGGTGGGCAGTCCTGCCAGGGAAAACGTGCTGGCACTCAGCTGCCGTGGGCAAAGGCTACTCGGTGATGATCTGCGGCCTTCCCCTCGGAGGGCTGGACCAGTCCCGGGAGGGAGGAGCAAGGACCAGGGCTAGAAAGTCCCTTCCGGAGAACCCAGCCCCGGAGACGCCCGACCATAAGGGGCTGAGGCCAGTGTGGCTCCCGGGGCGCCCGAGCCCAGCACCGGCGGAGACAGGATAGGAGGAAGGAGCCCTTCAGGGGCCAGAACATCGCGTTTTAGCACAAAAACGGAGGCCCAGCAGGAGGGGCGGCTTGGCCAGGCAAACCGGCTGCCCTCAGGTGAGGACAGAAAGGATGCCCAACCCTCCCCGCCGGCCCAATCCGCTCGCACCTGGGGCGCGCCAAGCATCCGCGCAAAAACCCAGCTGGGCTTCCAGCCGGACCCCACGTTTCTCCCTAAGGGGGGCGGGGAGGAAGCGCGGCATTTTGGGCATTTTTAAACCCTCGGTGGTTCCCGGGGCCACTGGGAAGCCGGCTGGGGACTGGCCCCTTAGAAAGCCGGTCTGGGAAAGAGGGCGCCAACGGCCGCTGGCGCTGGCCCCCCGGGCACCCTACCCGCCCCCAGGTGCTCCCTAACCTCCTGCGGCCAAGCCCCGACCCTGAGTGCTTCCGGCTGCAGGAAACAGGCAGGTTCCTGAGCTGCGGGGCAGAGGCCAGGCCCACGGGCGAAGGGACGCAGGAAGCAACCTGGCGACCCCAGTGGCCAGCCCCGC